CGTGTCACACACCCTTATTGTTATCCCCTTTCTGCAGAGAATTGGTCACTGACCCCAAGTTTTACTCTGATAATTTAGTGCGACATTTACCAAAATGAACACTCATGCTCAGGATGTAGGAATAACAAACTTCACCCTCCCGCCCAGGCAGGGAAAAAGTAAATAAATTTAAGCAAGCACACCAAAAGTAAATGATGCCAGCAGCAAATTGGACCAAAATTCAAATAAAGGAGGTATAAAGTAAGAATTCAGGAAAGGGAGCTGTGGCTTTTACAAGCACCTCTGCGGCCAGCCAGCCTGACGCAGCTGTCTCTCATTAACAGGCGATCAGTCCCCCAAAGTAACTCCAGGTGCCAAGGCTTACTGGACTAGAGGTCACGGATTTGTGGAGTTATGAGACCAAAAAACCTCACTGCCATCAAGTCACTTCGGACTCATTGTGACCCCAAAAGACAGAGCAGAACTGGCCCTGGGATTTGGCAAGACCGTAACTCTTCATGGGAGCAGAAAGCCTTGTTTCTCCCCCAGAGCGGCTGGTAGTTTTGAACCACTGACCTTGAGGTTAGCAGCGTCACTGGTAACCACGATGCCACCAGGGGCCCAGGTGGAGCTCAGCACTTTATAAACATTTTAATTGGGCAAACATGAGGAAACCAAGAGCCGGTACAACAAAGAGGAGTTAGACCTCCAAAATGTTAGGTAACAGCAATTCTGAAGATACAATAATCGATACAGAGATCAATGAAACTGAATACAGAACCCAGAAATACATGCTTCTACCTACTAATAAGTGATCTTTAGCACAGGGCTAAAACACATTGACGAGAGAAGAGAGAGTCTCGTCAACAAAAGGTCCTGGCAAAATTGGATTTCCACTTGCAGAAGAATGTACAAAAATGAAGTTTAATTGGATTAAAGAGCTCAATGTCAATCCTAGAACTATAAAGATCGTCAATAATAGGAACACACATACGGGCCTGAAGACATGGCGTAACAACACGACCAAACGTAAGGAAAGAAAATACACACACACAGCAGAGGACACAAGATATGACTGGGACTGTCTACCAACGAGACGGTTATGTGCATCCAGAGATTTCGTTAAAAGAGTAAAAAGAGAGCCCATAGACGGGGGCGGGGGCTGGGGCATGGGGGGGTGTCCATGATACATCAGACAAGGGACTCATCTCTCAAACCCATGGAAAACTGCAACCCTTCAACGAGAAAACGTTGAATAATCAAAATGTAGGCAAAGGACATGAATAGATATTTCACCAAAGAAGACCTTCAGGCAGCCAACAAATATATGAAGAAATGCTCGTGATCACCAGGCATCTGAGAGATGTGAATGAAAACAGCAAGGAGATACCACCTCACACTGGCATTGTTAGCAAAATTAAAACAAGCAAACAAACTGGGAGACCCCGGGAAAATGGCGACCCGATAGGACGCACTCGTCCGGAGCTCCTGCTGCCAGACCAGAAAATTGGGAGGTAAGGTGAAGGAAACGGGGAGGTGGAGTCCTGAAATTAGAACTAGGGTACTAGGGTCTCTCCTAAACCCCTTTTTGTGTGTGTGATTTCCTCTCACAAAGCAAACCAAGAACGCTTTAAAACGCTCTAGCTTTGACGAGCCCATGGGTGCCAGCTGCGCCCATGCCGGGAGCAGTGATTTCTCCAGGCGGACGCCTTTAAGGGGACAGAATCCCAGACAGGAGGAGAACCCCACGCTCTGCGCGGTTGGCTGCCTTGGGCTCACAGCCTGGGAAGTGGCAGTGGCAGGTAGCCATAGTTTAGAGTAGAAGGAAAAGCAGAGTATTACCTGAGTTACATCACG